AGACATTGCCAAAGACCACAAGTACACTATATTACACTCCTGTCCTGAAACTTTACCGTGGACATGTGCACCGATTTTCTGCAAGTGGTTCAGGATCGTACACACTCCACCAAAGTACAACACTCTGTGCTTCGTGCCTGATCGTAATAGTCCCCGACCCCACCCGAGACTCTCCTTACCAATATGGCCACGGGGACAGGCTGGTGCACACGTCTGACCATACTTGCGCGTATAAACACCCCAGAGCTCTCGGTATAGGATGCTAAAGGGTGTGTCGGGTTTGTGCCAGAGATGACCCGATTTGTCATCAAAGAAGGGATTGTGTGGCTCACCCTTGCTGAGTTCGATAGTCACATGGTACCGGATTTGTTCCATTACAGAATCGCCCACAAATGCTATCTGAAGTGAATGAGAGTTTAAGAATGCACTAATAAGCCAATGTGTTTACAAGACCTTGATACATTCACGCAGGAGAGCGAGGTTTGTAGAAGCAAAACGACGTTAGATTGTGCTGTGAAGTTCAACGACGCACTACCATGTGCTATACCTTTAAGCCTGATGTTTGATTCACCTGGGGATAGCTTTCTGCCCAGGCAAACAGAGCAGGTATCGTCTGCCTCTCGTACATGCACTTGAATGGTGTCCAGATATAGTCATCCTGTGGCTCCAGGTCATACTTGGTCTCTACTAGGTCTGGATGTGCCGACGTGTAGTGCACCCATTTCCCTCGGTTATCCCCCCGTGCACAGGCCGTCAGCGACTGCCGGTTTTTGTTGGCTGTAATCGTGTGGGGCAGCAATTGTGTTATACCAATCAACCGAGCTCAAAATTTTGAATACTTCTCATCGTAGCATGCCGCTGGGATGTGGACTGAGACATACATAGTCGCTATGTATCAGGTTCTCGGTAGATTGTTCAGATATGGGATTCAAGGCACACACCCGCAGGGTGTCAATGTACTGAGAATCAATTGTATGGGCAAGACCACATGTAAGTTTCACAGCGTTCACCGCAGGGGATGGGTGTCAGAATCTTGACTACTTTTAATGACCCGATAGGGTACGCAAAGCGTATGATTAAGTAAGAGTCGATATATTAAACGGTGGTACATCATATGACTAGATATAGCACCACGATGGGTGTTGGGTGGGGGGGAGGGGAGGGGAGGTTCCCTTATAGTAAATCCACTGTACGTTCTAGTGCTTTAAGGTTGGCACACGATGAAATGAACAAAAATATTTTTTACAAAGATACATCAAACTGTCTTGGCTGCTATACCTTGTGTGGAGGAAGATTCCACCAGGACGTCATGGGGTGCATCGATATGCAATCCCAGCGCACAGTGTGGAATTTTAATCGTCTTGTATCCATCTGATATATCACGAATAGAGAACAGGCCTCTCCACACGTATACTTGGCCCACCGCAGCCAGCGAAGGATCGGAACAAACCTGCATGAGCAGGAAACAGCCTCTGAGCATATATATATAATATAATATAATATATATATATATACATATAGGTATATATAGGCATAGTATATAGGTACGTATGTAGGTATATATACATATATAGTTTATATATAGACATTATCTGCGTAATTGTGATATTATGAACGTGTCTGATATACCCAAAAAAAGATGTGTAAAATATTTTATACCCCCCAAATGACACAAATAAATAATTTTAATTCTATTTTAAAATACTTTTATAATACATACGTAGATATGTGGCAGATGACTACACTCAGACATGCATATCTAATTCATGTTCATAAACTCATATATGGGTAAATAATTGTCTGTAATAGTACTATTTGAGCACTTCACTCACAATTGACTCGCAGCGCCTAACTACATGGAATTCGTGCACATTTAGCCATAAACCTGGTATATTGGCACAGCCAGGGGTATGAGCCTATTGTCCGTATAGTCGAGCACTCTACATCCAGTACCGTATACTATCACGTACCGAAATGTAATTCTTAATGGGGAAAGCCTCCGCATGTGGTTCCATCAAGGCTCTATCAGCCAAGTACTCTAGTACCACACCAACACGGTGCTGCCCCGGATTTAGTCGCGGGAGTGTGACCGTCCACTCGCAGGTGTTGGCACCAGAACTGTCGCGTTTGTGCTGAGGGACTTCGAATAGACTGTGGTCGGTTGGGAAGATGACGACGTTCCGGAATTTAGTATCATTTACGAAGTAAGCTACTGGTATTGGCTTGTTTACGTAGAATTTATAACTCTCGCCGTGGTTTGCGAGCAATCTAGAGTTTACTACTTGCGCCTCGTCTCAACAAACCAAACAGCAGATATGTGAATTACTATACACATGTACGTGCACTTCACAACGCACATACCCACAGTCTCACACTGCACTCGCCTGTGATGGTACACCGTAGCACCCGTAACGTAGACGTCGAATGTGTTGCGAACCACTTTTGCACAGCTGCGTTGCGTGATTACTACTTGTGCCTTGTCTTGATCACTGATCACCTGGATTGTGTGGCCATCCGCTGTGTGCGTGTTTGACTTCCTGTATAGAGTATATAGCATAAAAATTAGAATGACAAAGTATTGAGTGCGGGGCAGCTGAACACTATACTTGGTAGTTTCAACGTATATACAGCCAATTGACCTTATCAAAATGGCTATCAATTCACACATTTTGACTGTTACACTCTCTAAATTGTATCAACATGCTTGGGACTACTTACGGTGTCGTCACCGTATAGCTATAGTCTTTCAGCTTGACCATCGACTCCAGCGCCTTAGCGTTGTTACGAATCCACCGTTGTCCGCCCGTCCCATTACACCGGAATGAGTAATCTGCCGGTATGCGACTAGACACTGCTCCGGGTGTACCGAACCGTTCCACTGAAGTCTCAGGCATAACAACATCCATACCAGCGTTTGAACCTCTCGCGGCAGCAGCACCAACATTCATCATTTTGCTATCACTGGCATTCTGGTCAGGATCGTTAGTAGTAGTCTTTGCTTTATTTTCCCACTTATCCGTCTCGTTTATTTGTATACCATCCCCGCTTCTAACCCCAGCGCTCTCACTCTCCCTCATATCCGAAGCGTTAGTTGGTTCCCTGGTGTTGTCTTGGCTTTCAGCGCTGTCTTCGGGTTTGAGTGCAGCTGTAACAGTACTACTATCCTTACCATCCACCTCGATTTCGACTTGTGGGTCAGAAACAACCTCCTCGGGTGACGCTGGATCCACAACATCTCGCACTGCCGCAGTGTTGGGGTCTTGGACTTGTGTTACTTCGTTCTCTCGCACATACGCGTGTGATGTACTATACGGGTCTGTGCTTGAACCTTCCGCTGAGATGGGAGCTGCAGAGTTTTTAGATTGGCTTTCTGAGTTATGTGAAGCGACTTACGATGAGACGTGTGACCGAGACGAGAGTGAATATATCGATACTAGACAATGTAAGATTCATGAAGCCACACATGGCGGACCACGTGCGGAGCTAAACGTACAGCTATAACTACGGGTATAGCCACATTTTTGAACAACAGTAGCATATGTAGAGCGACATGCACTAGATTAAGCTGAGATATTGGCCTGGGATGCATCTCAGAATTAATAGTATGCATTGCTGTATGGCTTTATACAACAATGAGGTGTGCAAATCGGCCCTTCCCTCACATATTTAAGGGTTGAAGTCTCTACCCAGTCACATATATCTGCCATTTCATCATGCAGGCTGTACAACCTCAACTACGAATGGCTGCGCCAGTGTCAAATGTACACCAACGAGGCGAATGAATGCTTATAGCAGTATAGACTCCACACAGTACCCGAATATGATAGGGCTGCACCCCGGCCTCTCTGTTATAGTAACTGCTGTGCTTGGCACGCTGTACAGTAATCTTTGCACTACAAACAATACTTTAGATTCGCATACAACGCTGTAAACCAGGGTGCAGCTTTCTTATGTGCATGCGCGAGCCATAAATCGCACCCCGGCCTCTCTGTTATAGTAACTGCTGTGCTTGGCACGCTGTACAGTAATCTTTGCACTACAAATAATACTTTAGATTCGCATACAACGCTGTAAACCAGGGTGCAGCTTTCTTATGTGCATGCGCGAGCCATAACTCTGCAATGCTTCCAAGCAATATGAATATACACTTCAAGGTTGCACTGTATAACGCCCGTGTGTGGATCACTACATGTCTAAACAATATAGCATGGAAGCTGCATATTAGCCTATGTCGACCGCTTTTTTCACTTCGTGTATCAGTAAATACATTTAGTTGCAATCTACTGAGATATTTCGTTAGAAACTACCCAAGATTTAGGCAAACACTATATTTTAAACAAATCTCGTTTCTAGATATATGTGTGTATGTGCAGATGAGATGTTCAGCATATGTCTGCGATGAGAGACTTTGCACACCTCAAACTCTTGGATCGATAAATAAAACCCATCACCTAACATAAAGCAAAGGTACTCCACTAGCATATAGCGAAGCCTGTAGAAACCCGCAATGTCTACTTATAATCCTTCAACGTCTTAAGCTTACCTGAATTCGAGTAGACAGACTCCCACCCCGGATTGCGACGCACTGTCAATATTGCATATAGCCCCAGGCCGACGATGACAGGAAAGACACACCTAATGCCATACATGCGTGGTTTGCTCTGTCTGTAAAGCCCCATGGCTATGAAGTGGCTTTCAATATTTGTGTCGATGTTGAAAGTAGACTCTCTGCATGTTGTATTCTGGAAGGTATGTATGAACAACTCTAAACAAAGAGTCAAAATCAGCTGTACATGATTGTCATGCATGAATCAAGCTACTACTGATATATACCACCCAGAGATAATTAAGCTAAATGGTTCGCAATGGCTATGTATGATGGAGCTATTGATTTGAACTTCTAGTCTTGGCATCGCCTGACTAACACGAATGCGCAATTCTGATGGTCTGCACAAGTGGACAACAACTATTTCTGCGCAGCTTTAATAAGGCTTGACAAT